TCGGGCGGGGCTGCGGCGACTGACGGGGCTCGCTTCGGGCCGGGTAGCGGGTCTGCGCCGGGTCTAGGGCAGGCCGGGGGCTGGGTCCGGTAACGGGCTCGGCCGGCGTGGGACAAGCGTGGGTCGGAGGCCGGGTCCGGCTCAGGGTCCGGTACGGACTCGGCGCTAGCGCCGGGGTGGGGTGCCTTCCCGAAGGGAGGGATCACCCTCAGGGGGGGCCCAGGGGGACGGGGGAGGGGCGACGCCGATGTGGGGAGCCGGGCACCGCAGCGCAAGCGTGGGGTGTGAGCTGGGGAGGGGGTGCGGTGTGATCCTGCCGAGATTCCCCCCCCCCAGCGTCCCGGGGAAGCGCTTTCTTGCAGGGACCCGAATACCTGGATGGGTCAGACACGCTCCCAGGCTGTTGGAAGGTTGCTCTCGTTGCTGTGAATGTTCCTCAAGAAGCAGGACTGTGTTCTGAGGAAGCCTCCTTTTGCAGGACGTGTTTTGTAACTCAGCTTTGTGTTAAACCCCCCCAGGTTTGTGTATTTGGGAAATCTGAAGCAGATCTAAATCGCCTCAAACCAAACAGGTAAAACTACTTGTATTGTATGAATATTGCTAAAGGCTTCAGTCACAAGCAAGCATGCAAATTTTGGCAAATTATAATGCCAAAAAAGGATTTTTAGATACAGGCCATCCCTTATTTTCCTCAGGAGGTTTAATGGTTCAAAGCAGGGGTGTTTGAAGAGAAGGTTGTAGTACCAGAAAGGTATCAAGTCTGCTTTAGAGTATACAGATATGTGTGGGCCTGTAGTTATAATTTGAAGTATATAACTTGGTATTCAAAGGTTTTTTTAACATGATGTTATCTACTAAAAACAAGCATCCTGAAACAGGCTTAAGTTTCACCATTTATTTATGACCGCCCAGTTTGCCTTCAGCTAATGGTTAGTTTCTTCCAAAGTGGAGAATGTGTTATTTCTATACTTATTTTTAAACTAAAATTCCTCCTCTTCTCCCCCCCCCCCCCCCAACACTTTTACATTTTCTTCCTGCTGTCTGGATATTATATACACTATACTTAGTTTGCACATTTGAACTCTCAGGATCTCTTGGGATTTAGCTAAAGTAAACACACCCATTTTAGTTTGACTGTGAGTTGGTAGTGCGTAATAACCCTCAATGACTAATGATTCAAAGATAATCCTGAGGTAGTACAGTCTAGTCTCTTAGTGAAAGTTTACTTTTCATAGGAAAAAGAAACCACCCCAGATATACAGGTACAAATTCTTTGATTATATGACTGACTTTGGCTGAATATTGTCTTGCATGCTTGAAATGTGCTATGCTGCAGATGTCTTAAGTGTCTTTTTTTTTTAAGTACAGGACTCATAGGTTGCCATGTTCATGTTGCTTGTGTTTGGATTGCTACTGCAAGAAATTCTGGCTAATTCCCAAGCTGAAAATCTTACTGTATTCAAAAACATTCCAGAAGAGCCATTATATAGCTACAAAGCTATCAACTTGCCAGATGAGCATATTCCATACTTTCTGCACAATAATCAGCATATCGCTGGCATCTGTAAGCAAGACTCTCGTTGCCCATATAAAGTAGGTTTGCTTTTTTTTATTTGTTTGTTCAAATGTAATGTTGGGGTGGTTTGTTCTTGGAGTCATAGCAGTTAAAGATGGTGATGAATTGGTCTTCTTGCCAGTTAGTGGGTTCCACTGGGATTTGGAATTCTTGCTCTTGAAATAGATGTACAGGGCTCTTCCTGAATCTGATGCTGCCACAAGACTGGATTTATAATGTACTGGTTTGCAAGATTTTTATTCCCCCTCTTTTGATTGTTACAGAGCTGAAATGGTGATCTTAATCTGAATGACTCTTGTGCCTGTGAAAGGTGTTTGAACTAAGTACAGCTAGTAATTTCTAGGCCTGTGATTTTTAGCATGCTGTAGTACTTTTGTGGAAGTGCCAAGAGTATAGGCAAATCAATGAAATGCTGATTTAATCTTATCCTGTGGTTGCACATAATTCATTCACCTGAAGCAAGGAAAGTGAACTGGAGGGTCTGGGCTGCATGTGGCTGGGGAGCAATTCTAGTGTCTCTCAGGCTGGAGCTGCTTCGTAGAGCTGGGGGTGGGAGCTGTGCTCCCTCTTCTCTGGCTTTCTACAGCACTGCAGAAGCCGATGTTTCTAGATTTGCCTGGGGAGCAGTGGTACCCTCAGCCTGGAGCACTGTGTTTTGTGTGAGCTTAGCTTTGTTATCTATATCTATCAGTGATGTGACATTTTTGGAATCCTACTTACTGGGTCAGGAAAGTGGTTGTCCTGGAACAGACATACTAAAGACAAGGATAATGTTGCTGTGCATGCGTGTCCTCTTTGAAGCCTCTGTTGTGCATAAAGAATCTGGGTGTTCTTTCTGAAACTCCGTTTGAAAACAGACCAAACCAAAAGCCTTTTATGCAAGATTTATTAGCGAGAGGTAGTTTATAAGCTAACAACTAACTTAAGTAATTTCCCTTTTTGCAGTTGCCTAACCTGATTCAGTTATTCTGTGTTACAGAAATACTTGAAGAAACTAAAATCCTGCTGGGGTTATGAAAAATCTTGCAAATCAGATTACAGGTTCAGTTACCCAGTGTGTGATTATGTTGAAACTGGATGGTAAGTTTCATTTTAAATGTATAAAGTACAGTATGTTAAAAAAAAGAGTGTAGTGCTCACTTTCGTATTAGCTGTGAAGTTAACGTTATTGTGATATAGATTTTAAAGGATGATTCTTTGTAGAGATATGTGTATTTACACATAACATACATCTTTCAACGTAATTTAAAAAATCTAACTTTTTAAGGAAAAAAATACTGTTTGAAATGCTTCCTGCCACAATGTTTTCATTATTCTGATTTAGCCTTGAATTCAGATTCCTAAAATAACTCTGGATTTCCTTTCTTAGCTTTAAAAACAGAGGAAAAATGTTAAAAAAAATTTATACCCTTTTACGGGAGAATAGCTTTAAATTGTCATTGATGTTTTCACTTACATGCAGCTGATAAGTTGCTTCCTGTTTTGTGTCTTAAATGTCAATAAAGTAACTAGCTGGCTCTTCTGTTCCACTTTCAGTGGAAAAAAATGTTATCGGTTAAAGTTGTTACTAGACTTGAGCAAGGGACCTTGATTTTTTTTCTCTCTCCTTCATATACCAGGGCAAGTGACATTGAGACAGCCCAACAAATATTCTGGAAACAAGCTGACTTTGGTTACATTCAAGAGAGGCTCAATGAAATGAAAACCCATTGTAAGCCTGCAGCAACAGTAAGTATTTCTGATAGATATGATACTTTTTACTTGTATTTAAATGCAATTTTTGTTATTGATGAAAACCTACTTGTTCTTTTCTTAACAGGGAGATTCGTCTCTGACCTGTTCTCAGTACCTTCAGCATTGCAGAGCCACAAACTTGTACCTTGATTTACGAACTGTAAAGAGAAACCATGACAGGTGTCTGATTTGCTTGTGTTATAGTAAAACCAAGGGATGGCAGGGAAAAGGACTTCAGAATTTGTTTAACAAAGCTGGTGTGCTTGTTGCCATGGGCTTTACTGCTGATCAGAGACTTGTTGCTGAAGTCCTGTTGAGATCTACACCTCTTGATTGCTGTCCGCTGCTGCTGCTGTCAGCAGTACAGGTTGTTTAAAAACCTAAGCTTTTAGTTTTATGGAATGATGATGGATGATTGAAACCCTCCCTTCTGACAGAAGAGAGGAAGGCTTTTCTGTGTCTTTGGTCACATCCTTTCTTGATCAGGTGACGTGCAAAGTAGAATTGTTTTTGTATGAGGCACCGAGAAGACCTCTCCTATGCTAGATGCCTTTATGCCAGAACCAGGAATTGCATTTTTAGATACAGTGAGACTGAAGAGAGGTCTGAACCTGGATCTCCCACATCCCAAATTAAAATGCTACATATTGGAAAACTGCGTAAAAAAACCATACTACTGATGCTGGCATCACGCATTTTTCCTTCTGCCTTATCTTTGAAGTCAGTGTCTTGGCCACATGACTTGAAAAGACCTGGTTCATGACTGTGATGCTGATGCCCTTCAGAATGGGTTTTGTCATCTTCTCAGTCTATCCTAAAAGCTAATTTAGACAGTGCTTTAGTTGGCAATTTGTTTTCATGAAACCTGTTCTTGCACCTCACTCCTTGTATGTTGTATGAAATTCTTGGGTTACTAACTGGGTTGTGAAATCTGAGGTGAATTTCAGTAAGAATTTGTTATTAAAAACAAACAAACAAAAAACCCAACTAATGATGCTCCTGTAAGTAATCATGTAGCAAAATCTAATTAAATTACTCATTTGAGTATGTGAAAATGATTCCTAATAACGTTCTGGGTGGATTAGTGCTGTTTTCTAAATTGCCATGTAGAACTCCAAGGGCACCACTATCTTTATTTGGGAATTGTGGGAAATGCTTAATTTATGCTGAATTAAATACTCAGGTTTTAAATATGTATGAAGCACCTTGCTGAATTGCAACTAACTAGCACTGGCTTGAGTATGTAATTGAGATTGCAGAGCACTTTGTAGCACAAAAGCTGATAGACTTTTACTAATTTGCATTAGATTCAAAGAAGACTTCTTCCAGAAGGGAGAAATTGGAGGTCATTGCACCTTCAACGTTCAAGCATTTTTGGCTGAAGGTCAACGCAAGAGCCCTTTGCAGTCTTGGTAAGAATCACTTCTCAAGGCTGCTTCCAAGTTCACTTACTAATTCTTTTTTATTTTTTTCATTGGCATTACCGGCTGCGTGGATCACAGCTTCTGTATCAGCATACTGAGGAAATAGTTGCTCCTTTCTAAGGTCAATTTGAGAGTTCATATTAGGTACCTCTGATAATTACATCTATGCAGAATGTTCTAAACTATGCTATGTGTAATTGTGTCCTGCCTGGTCTATAGCAGCAAAAGATCTGAAAATGTTTTGTAATTTGAAGTTCTAACCTTCAGATGTTTTCCGGACAAGATGCTGGTTCTATGCCTAATCTGTTTATAGAAGGAGACGATTGTTTTGTTGCGAAATGCCTTGAAGTTTGTACTTGTGTCTTAGTTCAAACAGTCCTTGGTGATGTTGGGGCCAATGCAATGCCCGATCTGGATATATATTCATATGGTGTTCCCAGGGAGCCTGTGTTTGGAATGTAAAATGGACAATAGTCTACAGGCTGAGTAGGAAGTGCAGAGGGTGCTTTGTGGTAGCTGGTTAAGTATCACAGGTTGCATGTTAGCACTTCAAAGCTGCCTTGCCAGTAAATTGGTGAAACACGAAGGAATTTGAGCCATTAAGGTCCATAAAAGAATTCATTTTTATGCTTTTCTCATGTTTTCTTGTTTTTTCTCATTTTGCATTGATGGTCAATTTTGGTTAAGAATAGCTGCAGAGGAGGAAAAGACTTTTCTTCTCTACCTGCTATTGTCATCTCAACTGCTTATCCTTGTTTATATCCAGGAATAATAAATATTGCATGTACATTCACTATTCTGACCAAAGCATGAAGATCTTGCTGAAGTGTCTTTGGCAATGCAGATCAAGTTGGATAGACCCACAGATCTAGGCTCTAAGGCTCTTTGTTACATCTCTACTGCCTTGATTTGTAGATCAAAGATGCTGTTCGCTCCTGAGATCAAAGGCAGTGTTTAACCTCTTGAAGCTCATAACCTGAAGAACCTTCCATTACAATTTCAAATCATTAAAATGATTGTCAGACTCTATCAGTTTTCAGCAGTCCCGTTAAATCAAATGGACTGGATGAACAGTTACAAAATCTTAGATGTATGAAGTACATTTGTTTAAGTGTGTTAATGACAAAGCATGTTCTGTGTGATTGAATCTTTGTAGGTTTGCAGAACTCCAGACATTTACTGCATTAAACTTCAGGCCCCTAGAAGATGGGAAGTGTGACATTGTTATTGAAAAGCCAACATACTTCATGAAATTAGATGCAGGTAATTGGTATCTTTAGTTTAGTTTTTTTTTCTCCTGCAGTACTGTAGTAAAACGAGCCCGTATCCAACTTGCCCATCTACATTATGCCTTTGTGATTGTCAAGTTCACTTGTAATATATTTTTATTTTTGAAAAATGATATGACTTTTTCATTCCTTTTTTTTCTGTAGTTCCACTGATGAACTCGGAACTTAAATTTAAAAATCTTACATTTTCCCAGAGATGGTTAAAAAAAAAAAATCAGAAAAATTTCCTGCCACTTGCCTTGCACAGTCATTCTCTTGACTGTGTTTTGACAGTCTTTGACTTTGTGCCAAAGACCTTTATGTGCAGTCTTTGATTTTGGCTGTTTCTGGATGACAGGTTTCATACCATGAAACACAAGATATGGGTGTATGTGTCTTGTAGTAAGTATTCAGTAACTGAGGGTTCTGTGCATATTGAATTATATGGAAGAGGAAATGGTATTCGAAGAGGGGCAGCACCCAAGCATCTTTAGGAATCAGCTAGTGGTATCTGACATTTTTTTAAGTTCACCAACCTTTTTGTTCATGCAGCATGTTTTACAGACAAATGTTAATCAAAGAGAGTGTTCAGGATGTAGACATACAAACAAGCTGCTGTGTGGTAACCTATGGTTTAAACTGGGTAGTTGTCTGCTGTGTTCTGACCCTGTGACAAAGTGCAACTGTAAACTTCCCCTGCAGGCCAGTATCTTATATTTTAGGCAAAGTTGTTGCAGGCCCCTGAACAGTTACTGTGGAAGAGTTGCTGTGCTGTCAATTTGTACCTTTGAGCAGGGTGGTCTAGCTGTAGCTCAGGAGGCGATTTTGTCCAGCTCCTTTGTTTTAGGGGAAGCGGGGGAAAATTGCTGTTTGAGCAGTATAGGAAATCCGGCAGCTAGTTCCTATCATGGCAGCTCCTTTTGGTCAGGAGCTTAGAAACAGGGGCTGTGTGCACATGGTTCCAAAACTGGGATCTGGTCTTCACTAGCAAGAAAACTGGATTACATTACCTCCTTTGTTTCATGGTAGTTTTTTATGCACCATGGTCTCAAGGTATTAGCTTAAGAAACCAAGAATGAACAAGAATGCTCTGAGAAAAAACCTGAGGAATTACTTGGGCTTTGGCTCATGTGCAAGTACAAGTTCTGTCTTGTAGTCCTGCAGACAGAGCTTCCCTTAACCCTAATAAAGCAGAACCAAGATCAGTGCCGAAGGCCTGTTTTTAAAGTTTCCTCTATGTCTAACTAGCTATTGTTAAAGCAGTAGTTGCTTTCATATAATTCAGAAAGCAGCTGCAGAGTGTAATGGGAAATAGCACGTGAAACTTATCTTTTTCTTATGCTGTCTTTTGGCTGCTCTTCTAATTTCTCTGAACTTTTAAAAAACATGTTTTACTTCAGGTTTCTTACCTTGATTCCTTCCCCCTGTATACCTTTTTTAGGGTGTATAAGAAGCATTCAGTCAGAAGCAGGAGAAAGCTAATATAAAATGCAGGATACTACTAAGGAAAAAATGCATGAACCAATAAAAAGTGGAGCGAGTAATGTAGTATTTTGCTAACAACTCTTTCTTTCTTTCTCAGGCGTTAATATGTACCATCACTTCTGTGATTTCGTCAATCTTTATATTACACAGCATATAAATAATTCCTTCAGTACTGATGTCAACATAGTCATGTGGGACACCGTAAGTCTGCTGTGCTTTTAACATTTGTAATCGGTTGTATCTCTGCTTTATAGAGGCTCTGAAGCTTTTAGTAGCCAGTCCTTAGCTTTCTTGTGGGCTTAGCCATGTGGAACTGGTAAGTTTTTGGATCCTGTCAATACAGGTACATGAACAATAGTCAGGGAACAGATTTTCCACAATAAACCATGTGCTGTTTGAACACTACTCCGTAGCTCATCTTTTGCTAGTACATAATTATGCCTTTTTTTGGTGTCACCTCAAAAATAACATGATCTGTATTTCTAATGTGTAGCATTTGAATGTTTCATGCTGTTTTTTGTAGTTTTTTTTCTCTGAGAATATTGACATAGATTTACTCAAAACTGTTTCTTCTGTATTTAAAAAGAAACGCAGCCTTGCATCTTTCTAAATCAGTAAGGTGCAGCCTGTAATAAAGAAAACAACTAAATGAAATCCTTGTACATATCAAAACAGGGTCTAATACTTAATTCCTTTAAATAGCCTTCTTACAGTTCCTTCTCTCAATCACCTCTTAGAATGCCATGATGACATATAAACCAAATTTTTAAGTGGGGCTATTTCTGCTGCACTGCTGAGTTGAAACTGTGACTGTGTTTGAGAGTAATATTAGTTTTACTGGCCAGTATTTCAGTTGTGTAGGAGAGTTATAAGCTAAACAAAATGCCTAGTTTTTCATTGTAAAATGCCAGATAACATGTGTAATCTGGTCTGGAAATAACACAGTTCTTGACTATGATACTGTCCCATGTCTGTCTTGTTCTCATAATATACTGGGTTTTCTTTCTGAATATTTACTGCTAGGACAACTAATATTCAATACAGAACTGCAAGTATCCTCTGCGTGCTATTTAATGAGAAACCTCTTTGGTTAGAAGAGACCCTTTTTTCTAATTATTTTACATTTTGAAAGCTAAAGTAAACCCACCTGCCAGATAAGCAAGCTCTCTAAATGTTATACAGGGACCTATTAATCCAGCTCTGATGGCTTTCCAAAAAGATCAGATGTCAGACAGCATTGTAAATTACTTTGAAAAGCAACTCTTTGTCTTATATCGCGTTGTTGAATCAAATAACTCTTTCAAATATACCATTCAAAGTAAGTACTGTCACAGTACTATCATTGTAAATAAGTCCTAACTTCTCGGCCTGCTTGAGTTCATTACCATGTACAACCAGATGATGGCACCAACTAACTGCTGAACTGTCCATGCTGATCAAAAGATGGACTTGAGCTTATTATTCATTCTCTTTCTTTTCCATGATGTAATTAGATTTGGCCATACGTTCTAGCTACTGTAGAATCAGTGCACTATTCTTATTAAACAGTAATGGCCTTAGATGTGGGTTAAACAAAGCAGAAAACGAGTAGGAAATCTACTGGGTGTTGATTTGTAGGCTGTCTCTGCAAATGCAGGAAAGCAATGTTTATAAAGCACTTTTAAGGAGAGCAGATAGCATTAGAAAGTAGTATTTTCAGTTTTGGAGATCAGTTCTCTACTTCTAATCTTGAAGAGCAGTTCTTGTAATACAGATGGCCAGAAAGTAGTATGGATTGTAAAATTCATTGAAACTTTATGGCAGAAGGAGGGGAAAGGGAAGGAAGCACCTCTTCTAGTGAAGGAAATCTGGCACCCTTTAGGTTCTCTTACATTTCACTAGATGTCTGCACTCTGCTGCTGTCATTGATAGTCTTATTTTCAAATTTCTTGTTGAGAATGTTTCCATATAATTTTCCAAGCAGCCTGAACTAGCTCCAGAGTTGAAAGGAAGCTTTAAGTGAGAATCTGCACCAGGACTACTGAGGTCATATTTATTTGCATTCAAAGAGCAAGAGATGGTGACTCTTAGCCCTCAAATGTCTAGAAAATGTTACGAATTTGAAGGCAAGAGCCCCTGCTGCTAGGCCAATGTTGTGGGGAGTAGATGATTTTTAAAAGGATCTCCAGAGCATTGCTGCAAAGGGGGAAGTTTTGTAATGCCCTGTAGAGAAACTTCTTGGTAGTTTGTCAAAGTAATGCAAAACAGTTTCCTGGCTGTTTCTTCCATCAGATCAGATCATTGCCTTCAATTTGTGATACAGGTGATGATCCCAAAACAGAGGCAAATGTGAAACAGGCTTGTTGTGACTTTTTACTTCAAACATTACTGCTGCACTTGAATTCCCAGGTGGTTTTTTAGTCTCAGAAGTTGAGGTTCATGCCTTCTACCATCCGTATGTTTGTTACTTCAAATTTAACTTGTGTTCTGTTGTCTCTGAGGAAAGTAGTAGGTACCCCTTGCTCCTAACTCAGAAAGTCTAATCTGCTGTTGAAGAACTTTTCTATAAATTAGCAATCTAGACCTGTTATATTAAAAATTAACTACCTGACAGGTAATTTGAGTTAACTGCCATTGTAAATGCAGGGTTCAGCGTTCTGTAATGTCTGTGTTCTGTGCTAGGCTGTCTTAGGTGTCATGGTGGCAATGCGCATATTACCTGTATGTTAAAACTTGTATATAGTACTTGTAAATCATGAAGAGAGTTTTTATATGCATTTATGTAATCATTATGCCCTTGTGTGTTTTCCTTTCCTCCTAGAGTTCATATGGCTATGGCGACCTGTTCAGTGAGACATGGAAGGCATTTACTGACTATGAAATTATACACTTGAAAACCTTTGACTCTAAGAGGGTATGGAATTTTATATTTTGTTTTAATTCATAGTCACTAGGTAGTAAATATGACAGCTTCTCAAGCCGCTTGTGGATATGGGTGTTTCAGAGGAAAGCAGTAATACTTTCCATGCATGTTTAATTTGCGTAATATGAGTATTCTACCTTACAAACAAGAGATAGAGCTGTAACCTAATTCTGTGGCATATCTATGCTTTATATAAATGGACCTAACTTTTGTGTCTTCTAAGAGGTGATATTTAGGTATTGGTTTCAATTCTGCAGGACCCACTGCTGAAGTTAAGGATTTTCAAATGGTACTGTCTTTCTAAGTCTTCTGATTCCTACTGAGGTGTTTATCTTCCCCTGCAACTGTTAGTATACCTGCTGCTTATCATTAAAAAAATTTTTAGTCCCACCAAAAAATGTACCCATTTATTCAGAGCTCATTTTAGTCTCTTAAATCCCTTAAAGCCTGTATTAAACTCTCTAATCTCTAACTGGTTCATGTTTGTTCTGTTTTGGGGGTGGGTTTTTTTATCTCTTCCCACACTTGCATCTGTAGCATCCTAAGTGAGAGCTCTTTTGGGATCAGGATTGTCTTTGTTCTATTCATTTGCACAGTGAAGGAAGTGAGGATGTTCTTGACAGGAGCATGTAATTGCTAGCTCATTATAAGCAGTGATCCCACTGAATGAGCACGGAATGTGCCAGCGGAAGGTAGCAGTGCAGTGTAACTTCTTGTGATCTTGCTTTGCAGGTATGCTTTAAAGAAGCAGTCTTCTCATTACTGCCTCGAATGCGATATGGCTTGTTTTATAACACGCCATTGGTGAGTTCTTTTTATCCGTCCACTGTGTTAACTAGACGTGTGTGTGACAGTATAAAACCTGAGCTAATGAATCTCTCAAATACCTAGCTCAGCTATCATGAAATGTACTACATTGGAAGTCTGTGCAACTCCAAATGAAATGATCTTCCCTAAAGATTATGATTTTGAAGTTACTTCAGCTGCTTGATAGGAACTGGTTGTGTACAATCTCTTATGTCACAGCTCATGAGATGCGTATTATTTCTCTTTAATGGGTGGACATTGTGAAATTACTGGTATTTTTGCAGAGCACAAGAGCTTGTACACTGACAGACTTTCCCGAGGGTATTAGCTCATGCATTCAGGCTGTAACACTGTAGAGACAGTTATATTTCTTTCTAAATGAAAGTGCCACTTGTGTTGCAGTGAATAGTGACATGTTTAGCGCAGTGCATGATACTAGGCTTTTGTTCCACAAGAATGGCAAAAGGCTGATCACAAAGAGAGGTTTTCTGAGCAAAATAAGTTTTTGTATTAACAATTGCTTTTTTAATTTCAGATCTCTGGCTGTCATGGTACAGGGCTATTTAGAGCATTTTCTCAGCATGTGTTACACAGATTAAATATCACACAAGAAGGACCCAAGGTATGATAGCTGAATAGTGAAGTTGTAAAATGGAGCTGGTGGCTCTTACCAGAGAAGCAGCATTAGCAAGCTGGACTCAGTGGGGAATAAGGGCATATCGTGTACTTTTTGTCCTTTCCTGTGATGCTTGGGATTTTTTTTTTTCCTGTAAGTCAGCCTGTTCTATAAAGGCCTTCAGCAAACATTTGTGTATGTTTGTGAAAGTTGCCCTCATGCCCTATTTCCATAGGGCAGACTTTAGAACATCTTCCTTCCAACCCTAGGACCTCTTCCTCGTCTCTATTCTCTGTGTTCAAGGCCTTTGTGTCCTTCCTAGTTAAGCAAGATCCGTGTAACGTGGTCTCTTCTGGAGCATACTGACAAGGTGCTGTCCTTGAGTCCAGTAGAGGGGATCCCACAGAGCAATGCAGTGAACTTGCTCTCTATTGATCCTCATAGTTACTGCTGAGCTCAGGTCAGAGGAGGAAATGATTGAATCTGGTCCTTCCGATCTCTGCCCAGTACCATCTGCCTGGCCCTGGGCTTCTCTGCTGTACACTGGTACAAAAACTGGTAGTTTTTGCAAACTGTTGCAATGGCTGTATTGATAAATACGGCAGTCCTGGGCTTCTTGAAGTATTTGCTAGAGAGTAGCCTACATATTATCGCTGAGGGGCACACATTCAAGGCACTGCACAGGCATTTAGTTATGCTTCTCCTGCTGACACTAATGGGACTCATGCAGTTAAATCTCTTTATTTCACTTGGAACACTTACCCCTGTGAGTCCAATTAATTTAAAGAGCTAAAAGGAGGAACTGTTATAGAAGTAAAATATTTTTTTCCAAGGATCTTGTGCGCAAGCCATCCTGAAAGCTGCTTTCCTGCTTTCAAAAACTTCCATGTAATGTGTAATACAAAGGCTCTTTTGTACTGAATAAAATAAATCTTTCAGAAAATGTTTTATTCTTTGTTAATAGTCAGACTTTCACAAAGTTTTTGACACTTTTAATTTTTTGGAAAATATGATGTGAATTTTAAGGTGGTTACATCATCTATTACATGGGGAAGAAACATATTTAGTTGCTCAAATAATTTCCAAAAGTAAATATGGATGGGTTTGGGTTGTTTTTTGGTTTTGGTTTTGGTTTTTTTGGGGGGGGGGGGTTGTTTTTTTTTTTTTTTTTTTTTTTTTGGGTTTTGCCTCATAGCTAATACACTGCTGCTTCTTTCTTTTTAGGATGGGAAAATTCGAGTCACAATACTTGCACGCAGTACAGATTACCGGAAAATATTAAACCAGAATGAGGTGTGGTCCTTTTTACTTTTAAAAAAAATTATCAGAAGTTAAATTTTGCTTATTGAATTGATATTATTTTTTTTTCAGGAGCAGCCAAGACATCTATCTGCTGACAAATCTTGGACAAATATGTTCAGTGCTAATATTAATTTCTTCTAATATGTCTTCTAGCCAGTCTCCATTTCTGTACACCAGACACTGAACCTTGCTGCCCTTTTTAAATATCCAGTGGAAGACTACAGATGTAATACTAAAAGCATTTCCTCTTAACAAACAGACACTGCAGCACTTCTGATAAAATTAAATTATTTTGCTTTCAGATTATCTCTTTTATTTCTAGCATTCCCAGTGTTGAAGACTCTAACAAAAACCTTTGTTATGCTTGCAGATTAAAATGCATAAGCTATTGTCTCTGAGTACATGCATTCAAAACTTAATGAATTTTCATATTGATTCACATTTTTGAATCATGCAACTTAATGGATTTATGGTGTAGCTTCTATGTGGTAAAATGATAACATCTGATGTTTTCATACCTGTCTTCATTCTTAGCTGTTAGAGCCTGACAAAAATGAATTGGCATTATCATCCCCACCTTATGTAGGGAGAAACTGAGGCTTGTTTGATGCAATAGCTCAGTGGCAGAATAGACAGAGTTCAGAAAGCTAGATTTGTGCCTTATCTGGTAGGCTGTCCACAGTGCATGCCTACACTGCTACATGTAGTGTGTTTTCTGGTAATGAGCACATGACAGAAATGGAGAAGTTAATCTTATCTTTACTACATGTTTGTAAAAGAAAATACTTGGCTCTTTCTCTGTCTTCTGCTGGCTATGGATTGGAGACTTAGAAGAAGCCCTTTTAGGTTAGAAGCCCAGGCTCTAACCTGATTTCACTTCTCATTTGAGTAGGAGTCTGACCTAGTAAGGTATTTTTGAAAATCCTTCTAGCTACCAATTTGCTTCTTTAGGTATTGGAATATCTTTTGGAAATCCAACCACATCTTCCCACTATTCCTGACAGAACTCCTACTAGTTTGAATGGTTTAGGATTGGGTCCTGGAGCACGTAGAAGGCAACAGTAGCCTTTGTGAGCATGCAGGAGATCTAAGTCTCCCCTCCAGGGGTTGCTCTGCCAGGAATAATGTATGTATCTTGGGTGGGAAGGCACAAAAAGAGGGGAACTGCTCCTTTGTGTGTCAGTGACAATATGTTCTGTCTCACTTGTTGTAATTCCCTGGTAGGGAGAAGGAGTGTGTAAAATGATCAGGAGTGCAGGGGAGGAATTAATTGAAGGAGAACACCAAATCATTGTCTTTTTATTTTTCCTCCTTAGCTTTTAAGTGCTTTGAAAACGGTATCGACATTGGAGGTCAAAGTGGTAGACTACAAATACAAGTACGTAAGTTGGTAAAAGAAACTAGTGTGATCTCATGCTGCCTATGGCTGGTGAAAGCTGTTTGCAAGCAAAGCTACATATGCCCCAATGTCTAACCTTTGCAAAATCCAAGAACTGGTAAGGAAGGAAGAATGTTACTGAGGGAGTGGTAGGTGAGCTAGTTAAGCACTTCCATCCCATGATGCACTACTTGGGAATGAATCTCTAGAGTTAGTAGGCTCAAGTTAAAGCTACTACATGACAAGCAAGTTTTGAAATTACTTTTCTTTCTGTTTCCTCCTTTCTCCCCGAGCCAGCTGTGTTCCCATCACCCTTTTGGATTTGCTAATGCTCCGCACTAAGTGCAGGTCAACAGGGATTTCTCTTGTGTGATGCTGGTGTCATATTTATGACCCTTAGTTTAGTAATGAGTAATAACTCAGCTTATTTGCTGCTCTGGTGGCCCCTGAAGACACCATCTGAGGGCAATTTGTGGTGCCCAGATGTAGTAGGCACTGTGCCAGTAAGAAATGGCTTGAAGAAAAAGTTCCCAAGAGGTGTATGCCTGTGCCAAATGGCAGCAGCTCCCATCTACTCAACGATGCTGTCATGGATCATGCAGGAGGAGTGAGAAACTGAAGATCAGTGTTTTGACCAAAGCAGAGACATTGTGAGGAAGTTGAGTTCCTTCTGATTCCCTTGTCAATGAAAGCACTTGAACAGTCTAGTAGTAGAAAAGAGGGTGGATACCCTTGAGAGGGCATCTGGACCATCCCACTTGAAAGCATGACCAAGTGGTAGTTCCACAGTTCCTGTGCTTGTTGAAACTGTTTGTGGTACCATTCAGCATTACAGATTTCCACAGCTATCCTCCAACATCAATGTCGTCATAGTTAGAAGGGTTTCCCTGATGTCTGCCCTTACAGCAGTTTAAGCAGTTTAAACTTTCTTGTTGCGGTTTAAGTCAGTTTCTTCCTACTCTCTTCTAAATGGTCAGAGAGGATGTTATTCTTTTCATTTTTAATGTATGAATTGTTCATACACAAATGAAGCCTATTGTAATTTCCATTTCCAGTTGTCTGTCTTCTCTTGAAATTAAGTACCTTTAGTCCCTTCTTTCCTTGTGTGCCCAGGGAACGCCTGGTTATTTAGAGACTACTTTATTTGGAGCTTACAGTCAAAGGATGGGAGAGAGTTACAGCTCCAGGAGCTGAAAAAGGCCTGGTCTCCTTATTTCTGCTTGATACCCTATGCATAAATTCAGGTTGGGTATCCACACCTTTAGGTGAGAATTGTATACTTCTATGTTACATTAAAAACAGTTTTATGTCCTTCATGTTGGGTTTTTTTTTAAAGGAGGTAATGCAGATATTTTTTTTTTAAAGACAAGTAAAAAACCCCCAAACTTACAAAAATCTTAACTTGTAAAAAAAAAAAAAAAAAAGGTTCAATTTTTTGGAACAGACTCTTGTGAAGTTTTGAAACCTGTCTGTGTTTCTTTTAATTCCATGCTGAGTTATTGCTGGCCGCAGCATTTGTGATTCTTAGTATTTTTCCTTGAAAAATCAGTTCTTTCTTTCAGTATGCCCTTAAGTTAATTTTGCACCTTCTACATGTAACTAATTCTTGCTGAGATGGATAGGCATGCCAGATCACCATTTTTGCTGTGTTGTCCACAGGGAACTTGAATTTTCAGAGCAATTGAGAATTACCCACAACTCTGATATATTCATTGGGATGCATGGAGCTGGACTTACCCATTTGCTCTTTCTACCAGACTGGGCTGTTGTTTTTGAACTGTAAGTCTCTTTCTCTCTCTTTTCTCTCTTATACCACAACTGCTAATGTCTGTTCATATGTGTTAATGAAGCACTTTGACTTGCTAGTAGTTGGCTATGAATGTTTGTCTTGCATCCTCGTCTAGACTATTTTTGGCAGTATCTTCTGGGAATCAAAAGTGAGGAAGCTTTCATTATAAAATATAGTGTAACTATATCCTACAGGTTTAGCCTGTGATTTCTTAAGATGCCGTGGTATAAATAAAATGCAGCCTTGTCAACAATTGCTTCGGGAAAATGGCAACAAAAGAGAAAGCCTCACTGGTTAGATTCTACCTGGTGAGTCTGAGATTTAATGGTATTTTGGTGATCCAGGTGAATTGATTACATAGGATGCATGTCCAGGGTGTTAAAGAACACCCTGAAGGTTATTTATGTATTCCTTTCTATGCTCAGGACATGAGCACCAGCTTGCTGGCCAAACTTAGCTGAGTGTCATTCTGTTTTACCTAAATTTCTCTAGTAGCTTCCTTTTAAACGTATTTTCATAGAATCATAGAATAGTTTGGGTTGGAAAGGTCATTTAAAGGTCATCTAGTCCAACCCCATGCAATGAGCAGGGACATCTTCAACTCGATCAGGTTGCTCAGAGCCCCGTCCAACCTGACCTTGAATGTTTCCAGGGATGGGGCATCTACCACCTCTCTGGGCAACCTGGGCCAGGGTTTCACCACCCTCATCGTAAAAAATGTCTGCCTTGCATCTAGTCTGAATCTACCCTCTTTTAAAAGTTTAAACCATTATGACTGGTCCTATCGCAACAGGCTTTATTAAAAAGCATGTCTCCATCTTTCTTATAAGTTTCATTTAAGTACCGAAAGGCTGCAATAAGTTCTCCCTGGACCCTTCTCTCCTCCAGGCTGAACAACCCCAACTCTCTCAGCCTTTCTTCATAAGAGAGGTATTCCAGCCCTCTGACCATTTTCATGGCTAAATTTTGTTGTAAAGTATGGTTGTTAATAGGCACCCCAGTTCTATAGAACTAAACAAAAATGCTGCACTCTTCTAAGAGCACTGAATTCTCCATCCTGGGAAATTCTGCTTAAAGTCTCTGCTGTGGGAAGGCTGTGGAGCTGGTGCTTTGCAGCATAGTCTTGGCTTGAGAGCATTTTGTCCAGTCTCCAAGTAAATTCAGAAACCCATGCCCAAGAGCTGCTGCACCTGGACAGGGGCATGCCTGACATGCAGGTGTGCCTCAAACTGCCTCTAGGCTGCATCTGAAGAACAGATGCTGGCCCTTGTTGTTTTCAGTGGAGTAAGATTTGTCCGTGGTTTCAGAGCCTTAGAACTCGACATTTTGGCCTGAAGATTTGGGGTTTTTTTTCCTGTTTCACCCTGGTAAACTTCAGTACAATCTCTGTGGGTAAATACAATTTTTCTGCCTGCCCCTAGATACAATTGTGAAGATGAACGTTGTTACCTGGATTTGGCAAGGCTGAGAGGCATTCACTACATCACTTGGCGAAAAAGGAATAAAGTATTCCCTCAAGATCAGGTAATGATGGCCACTGCTAGAAGGGTGGGTGCTGTAACTTGAATCATTTAAAGGTTAACTTGTTTTACCTATCTATGTTCTGATACTTGAAATATGGTTTTCATTCTTTAGACCAAATTAACTTCCCTGTTGTGAGTAAGAAATCATTTGATATTAATGACTGAGGGAAGAAGAGAAATGAAATTAATTGGCCATTAATCTAAGCCATCCATAGCATCGCTGTTATGCAGTTACTTTGCTGACTTCTTTGCCTCAGAGCAGATCAGTGGATCAGAAATAATAAACTAAAATGGCAGATGCTCAATTTTTTTTCTTGCTTTTTGAATGGAAGATGTACTGACTTTTTTTCTGTCTAAAAGGTCTTATTTCATTTTTCTAGGGACACCACCCAACTCTGGGAGAACATCCAAAATTTACAAACTACTCCTTTGATGTGGAAGAATTTATGTACTTGGTGCTTCTGGCTGCAAATCATGTTTCACAGCATTCCAAGTGGCCATTTAGGGTAAAACATGATGAATTTTAAATTTGACTTCTGACTGAAATATTATTTTTAAATAATGCTCCATAAAAATACTGTAACAACATAAAGCAAAATGCTGGTGTGAAACGTGTAAACCTCTACGAGGGAAATGTCCCATTATTAACTTGTCAAACCATTTCTTAGCACCATACCTTGACCCTCTCCTTAATTCTGGGAGTTTTTGATATGTAAAAACTGTTTTTCAGAACTCTTTTTGTTTTTTGCACTGTATTTTTACATTCCACATTCTGAAATACTTGTCTGATATGTCCATCCATTTCATGTAAGATTTTCTGGGGTAGATACTAATCTTGCAATAATTTATGCCTACTATTATTTGAGGAAATGCTAGAGAATGGAGAGTGTTACAGCTTGGTTTCTCAGTATAGTCTCTCTGGGAATGAACGAGGCCTGTCAGAGCTCCTCAGTTCCTCTTTTTAAGAAGGTAGAGGCTTTTATATTATAGTCCCGTACCTGTAAGTAAAAATCTGAATAGGAATTGCCTTCCTATTGTAAGATACTGCCCAGTATGTCATTTGTAGCCGAGTTACATGATGCAGTGGTTCCAGCATGGCTTGTTAGTTCCTTTCCATCACCATCCATGTTATTGCTGTGCTTGTCCCTGTATTGTTTCTAGGTTTGAAGATCTTCCTTTGTATAATAGTGGTTGTAAGAATGAAGTGGTTAAGCAAGCTTTAACTCTTGTTGTTCGGTAGAACAGACACTGCAAACTTCTATTACAGCTTTAGAAACATTTTTAAGTTAGAAAAACATGTCTTATGGTTTTGCATTTAAATATAAGCTTTGACTCTTCTCCCTCTGGTTTTAAATGCTAAAATATAACAGGTCTGCTCAGTAGGTTTAGTCAGTCTTCTATCTCAAAGCAGGTAAATCTTTTCCTGAGCGAATACTTAAAATATCAGGTAATCTGGGTGTTTCCTACTTTTTCACATAAAACAGCAGTCTGTAATGGGAAAAATGAGCAAATTGGAATAAAACTTGAGTCTTCCTGAGGATGCTAAAGGGAATGGACTTGTAGTTTTTTATGACAAATGATAAGATGCATATGGTGTCTTTCAGCTGCAGCTGAAAGGAAATGAACTCATGAGGAACCTTGTTCTTGGAGTCATTAAAAGCCTAATCTATTAATATTCTTGTTTTCTCAAAAAGTCAAAGAGTTAATCTAGAAAACTTTTGAAAATCCTTCCAAAGCCAGTAGCATAGTTCACTGTTTTCAGTGAAGGAAATATTAAGCCAAAGCCGAGTTCTTTATAAAATTCCCTTCAGAGCTGACGTGTTGGTTCTAGCAGGGGAAAAAAAAAAGGGAGTAGTTCTGTTGTCTTAAGTGGGGCCAGAAGGATGTGTGGAAGAATCAAGTTCAGTGAGATAAAAAACAGAGTTCTGTGTTAAATTATGGATTTTTTTGAGAATGTATTCCCATGATAGGCTCGCAGCATAATCATACAGTCTCAGTGGCTTGAAGCAGAGCATACATTTTTATGCAAAAGCAAGACAGTTACAATAAATGTAAACATTTCACTGGTATAATGGTAGATATTATTGACTTCCATTCTCCAACAGTCATACGCAATTTCACAGAGTGTAGGTGCATTTACTGACCTGCCTATACTGGTAAAGATGAGTTACTGTAAGCATAATTTTTATATAGATCTCTCACGACCCAGATACACAAGATACCTTAAGGTATCAGCTATATCTGGTGCAATTCTTAGTGCAGTGTATTGTTGTACTTTAAAGAACCATAGAAGCAAAATTGCACTTCTTGGCATGAGGAAAAAAAAAAGCCCTTGAGAAATGCAGTTTCCTGTATTTGTATTGTGTGTGTATGTGTGGTTTTTTTACCTTGTGGGATTTTTAAAGAAAAAAAAAATGTATAAAACTTAAGTCAGTGAAATCTCTTGAGTTCAGATGAAACCAACTCAAAATAAAGAAGACATTTAACTATGAACTGTGCACAGATATTTGATAATTTTTTTAATAAAAAGCTTTTTAATAAAAAAAGAAGTGTAAAATTTTTGGTCATAGCTTTACCAGGTTTTAGAGGCAAATGTTTTAAACACTGTTAATTGCATAGAGTCATGTGTGTCTGCTTTTTCCTGCCATGACAACCTGATGCTCTGAGGTCTAAACTGATATTCAGATTTATTTGTCTGGGAAACATTCAGAGATAACGCTGTCATCTTGCGCCAATGGCTTTGTTGCCAGGCATTTTAAGATTAGTTTGTGGAAAACATTGGTATATGTTTAACTTTCTGTGCTGCAGATGATGCTGTTGAAGCCAGTGTGTGAATGCAGGCATGTGCTTGAATTTGTACAGAAGTAGCTGATGAGGAGCTTCTCTTTCAAGCTATGTTAGGAGTCGCTAAAACAAGTGGTCGAACATATGCCTGAATGCGTGGAGGAGAGGCTGTGGGGAATTAATCCAAGGGCAAAATACCCTGCCAACATTCACCAGTTTCACTAAATTTGAGTGCAGCGTCAACAGTTGATGGCCAACATATTCTTCAGCCTTTGTGGCTTAATATTACTGGGATGAAAATACTATTTTGGTTGATTTAGCTTTACAAATAGTCACAAAATTATCTTGGCAGCAAAAGGAGGTTTGGTTGCATTAATGGGATTTTTTCCAATAAATCCTGAGGGAGAGTTTGGACAACAGCAGAGATCTGGCTCATGACTTTCTTAAAGAGGGTCTGGGCCATCTCCATCTGTCTAGAAATTGAAATTTGAGACAATCCATGAGACTTTTGGGCCACTTGTTCTTTAGGCAGGGTATAGCTCTGGGTTGTATTTTCCTACCAGACTATAGGAATCTTGTTCCTTGCTACTTCTGATTTTTGTGTCTCTCCAGTTTAAGTTTAGAATCTGTGTTTAACTGGCACATTGGCATCAGCGTGATGAATGTAGTTTTGGGACTTAATGAACATTGCCAATCCTGAATGCTTACAGGATTGCCTGTGTTTCATGTACAATGTAAACTGAGAGCTGCATTTGAAATAAAAAAGAATTTATGGATGCACGTGGTGTCTTTCCTTTTTACTTCAGAAGTCTTCAAGATGTATTTTCAATTTTTTCTTTGTGAAGTTCTGTGGAAGTTGGGTAAGTGTGAGAAATGGTTTGTGATGGGGAGGTGGCAAATCAAGATTATTAATCTTAAGAGTACAGTTATAAATATTAAGGCAATACATCCTTTAAAGCAATTAAATAATAATGAAATTGTTTAATTTTTGCTGTTAATCTTGCCAGTTGTACCATTAATGAGATTACTCAGGGTTTAGAATGTCCCTTAATCTTTTTTTTTTTTTTTTAAGCAGGAGAGAAACTGAAGGAAACGTTCTCCTTGAGAGCTTTTTATCTGCTCAGAAGGGTAAAATGTGAGGGGATAATTTTATTTGATTTCAATGTTGAATAATTGTTTCAATTTGCAGTGTTTTGCCTTGAAGTTGAGCTCTTATTTCCACTCCTCTGAACACACGTTTCTCATGGATCGGGCTTTTCGTCTGAAATAAAAGAACTGCTACTAAATACTCTTCTGGCTTTGGCCCTGAAACGGCCCAAGTATCTTGGCTCTTCGTTACTCATTCATGAGTTCTCATCATCTTTCTTGCATTTCAGTTCCTCCTCTCACAGCGTGGGTGTGAGGATGCTAAGCCTCCAGTTACTGAAGCTGCTTGACCTACTCCGAGTGGGAGCTGCTCCTCCCGTCTACAGACTGCAGCTCGCGTGAGGGCTCTCTACCTCATTTCAGCCCAAGTCAGCTGCCTTAGCAAAAGCCTGCAGTTTGAACTGTTTGCCACAGACTCTTTTTCTCCTGTAGGTGTGGGCTATGGTGTAAGAGGTGGCTGTGTCAGCTGCTCATCTGGTGTGGCAGTACCTCGAAGTAGGTAGACGGGTCTTGGTTGTGGTTGGGGTAACCTTTCTAGAAAAAAACCTAGAGCTGGAATAAAATGACTGAGCGAGTCTTGGTGAGCCCAGGTCTGAAGTTTTAGTGGCTTCTGTGTTGGTGGAAATGAGCAGTTTACGGTAGGGGTATCTCAAATAGAGCAGCTGATAAAAGCATTTTGTGGAGGTGGGGAGGGAGATGCGCAGAGGGAATGAGAAGGCTGAGGAGGATGGAGGAATGAGTAAGTGTAAAGGCTGAAGACGGGTAAAATGGGCAGAGAGTCATTCCCAAGCCTGAGGCTCAGAAGACCTCCGCGAACGCCAATTATAAATCAAGTGAAGTGTGTAGAAACTCCATTGGGACAGAGCCAAGAATGAGGGTAGTGAAAATGTTACTGTCATAACCTGCAAGGAGGTACAGGAGGGACAAATGAAAGGACTTGAATTCTCCTGGGTCTGAGCCAGGTGAAGAGGGGAGCAGCACCCCCGGCCAGGTGGGGGTCTCGAATATGCATAATCTCTAACATGGCATTGTTTTTTTTTTTTTTTTTTTTAACTTTTTTTTTTTTTTTTTTTTTTTAAAAACAGGTCTGGCTTTGGCCCTTAGAAAAGTATTTGAAACAACATAGTTACACAAAAATGTATAAAGCCTTTGAGTGGAGGGTGAGAAATCAGTTGCCTAAACCTCAGCTACCCCATGACTTAGAATTTGGGTTTATTTTATTAGTTGCTGGATATCATCAGTTCAGAACTTTAAATCTGCATTGTCCGGTCACATGTTTGCGGTCAGTGATGTACCTATATGTTCTATTTAAGTAGGTCTCGTTGGTCTTCTCAGCTTTTGCGAAGAGCACGCTCACATTCGGCGCAGTGCTGTAGGATCGCAGCGTTAGCCAAGGTGCCTCCTGCTTGTCCCGGTGGTCTCTGTCGGCTGGGAATATCTTTTGCCTTGGAGTGGACATCCCATTTCCAGCTAAGGCTTCTAGAGCAGCATTTACTACCTATTTTAGCAGAGTGCAGTAGGTGGCACTAGAGCCCTTTCCAACGTTGCCTTGGCTGTTCAAAGGGAATCTGCTTTCAAATGCAAAGACTCAGCTTACCGAGGAGTACAATAAAGCAACGGCTCCTCCAGATGATGATTTGGTTTTTTCCCCCCTTCCGGCCTGTAGAAGGAAATGCCTGGAAAAAAATTAATCCAGGGAGATTTTAGGTTTTAGTGTAGGATTATTCAGATGCTATAATATCAGAATATTTTTCTTCAGTTTTTCTTTAAGCAACTTAGTTGGTGTTGGAAAATAATTTTCCATTAATCTTTTGTAGCAAAATGATGTTTCTCATTTTCTTGTAAAAACATTTTGTGCCAAACTGTTACTTTTTAGCAGTTAATGCAATTTCTGTTCTGCTGCAAAGTCTTGATTTTCACTTATGCAACACCTTACCCAGTCTTGCAATATATTGTGCACCTTCCACTACCTAATTATTTCTCCCATTTAGTTCACCGGGGTGTGTGTGTGTTTGTGCGTATGCATCTGATGTCGCTGAAAATGTAGACTGCTGACACTTGGAAAATGGTAAGAAAATACTGGAGATTGGTGGTTGTTCTTCTGTTTAAAAAACCCCATTACCATGAGGACATTTGTTTTTAAAGCAAAATATTTGAGCTCTGCAGATTACCCCTTTTCCAAACTTATCCCACAGTTGGTCATTAAAAATGGAATTGATGGACTCTCCTTTGCAGCTCTGAAAACCTTTGAGCTGACACAGGCTGCTGGCTGCCCCAGGGAGGGATGCAGTGTCCTGTGTTGCCCCTGCTCGCTGGTTAAAGCCGGTGGAGTTGATTTCTTTGCCTGCTGTCTGACCTGCAGCTTTCAACAGCTGAGCAAAATAAAAATAAGCTTTAAATGTTAATACAGGGTAGTAATTATTTGAATTACCGTGCAAGAAGGATGGAAAGCAGGTGAGTTTTGTAATACGATGGAAGTATTGGAAGAAGGCAGATGCTCTCCCTTTCTGTGACGCAAGAGCAATACATCCATGGTTAACTTTGGGGTTTGAACTAGGGCTCTTTGAAGTCCCCCTACGGGCATATGTGATGAAACCTGGAAACTATCATTTTCCTTTCCGTGGTGCAGGGGTAGGGCAGACCCTGTGGAAAGAGGAAGGCTGCCATGGACAGTGAAGCTCAATACCTGACTGCTACAAGTTGGCATCTCTCCGCTCTCATCCATGGGTCTGTGTCCGATGAGGAACACGAACAGATCCTGAACATGTAGCGTAGTGTGTGTGCAGCTCTGGGGGACACTGCAGCAGGGGTTATCCCTGTTCGGCATTTGATTTTTTGCATCTTGCAGATAATTAAGATCCTCGTCACGGTTACGCGTGAGGCGCAGGAACCTGCCCTGGCCCTCGGGAGGTGCAGGAGGCGGCTGAGGGGCCGTGTCCGTGATGGGGTGGGATGGTCGCGCTGGTCAGGGCTGGATAAGAGGGTGCGAGCGTGGCGGTGACCGCCGTTGGACATCATTCATTACCCCATCAAGGACTCGGCACATCAGTCAGTGAAAAGGCATGTGTATCAAGCTGACAGCTCTGAATTGTTTCTTCACCAATTACCACGCCAAAGCCTTGATAGCGTAATGAAATATGCCTCCCACCTATCACTTCATCTTTGTCAAACTGACTGGGTGTTCTTAGTTTGTTATGACGGGGAGAACTTCAGCAGCGTCAGAAAAATAAGCAAGCTTGTCTCTGGTGGTAAAGGATCCAAGGCTTAAAGACTGGACGGGTGCTGTCAAAGAAAGACGCCTCAGTCCAGATGAAAACGAACATGGAAAATCCTCACGGACCAGCTGAGCCCTCAGCTCTCTCTTCATTTGGGAC